TTTTTTAAAGATGTTATTTATTTATTTGACAGAGAGAGACACAGCGAGAGCAGGAACACAAGCAGGGGGAGTGGGAGGGGGAGAAGCAGGCTTCCCGCTGAGCCGGGAGCCCGATGTGGGACTCGATCCCAGGACCCTGGGATCATGACCTGAGCAGACGCTCAACCATCTGAGCCACCCAGGCGCCCCGCAGTCCTATTTTCTATAGCTAAACTTAATTTCTGTCTTAACATCTCAAACTACTCCCTGGTTGAAAACTGGGTTGGTGAATTCCAGGTTTTCTTGGTCATTTCAGAATTTTCCTGTCATCCCAACTCAGTCAACTGTGAAAAACATCTCCTTTCCTCAACTTCTCTTCAGGGTAGCATTTAAGTTCCCAGATGTTTAAGGAACAGTACATCTTTAGAGGGAAGGGGGTGATCTGGCTGTCATTCCTCAATTGTCTACTCTGCCATCTACTGAATGTATGATCTTGTCTCGTCCTCAGGTGTTGCTCTCTCTCCAGGATGGTGTCTGTTGAGATGCCCACGTCCCCATTTGGTCATCGGTTATAAACTTTCATGACATTTTGCACAATTCTGTCCCCTTTGGCAAAACTCCTTAATTAGTTGGTTTTCTCTTTCAGCTAAACTTTGCAGCCCTCTAAGGAAGAGGGGACATGTAAAAAAATCTAGCTGTTCTCTTAGCCAGTAGGAGGCTTGGCAGGGCTCTCCACGCCCTCTCTGTCCAGTGGCATCCCTCATAGGCTTTTGTTCTGCGTCCCAGTAAAGTGGTATGGGGACTCCCTAAGGGTCAGCCTCCGGATTTCAGATGGGAAGTTGGCATCAATGTCTTCTACTCTCAGAACACCCTAAGCTCTTCTAGGAATCTGGAGCTAATCCTACAAGGATAGGTGAAATACTATCTTGTTTTAGAAAAGATCAGTGCATCTCTGTCTTATTTTCCTTGTATACATATCCCATCTCAGCTTAAAGAATTTTTATATAGTGTTGGGAGAGGGAAGAGGAGCAGCAAATTCTTCCTGATTTACATCTAGATCTAAGCCCTTGAATTTAGAACAAAAACATTGGACTACCTTTGTCCTCAACTTCTGCCCCTCTGAGGCAACAGAAGACTCCCATCCAATGACCTGAAGGGGGATGGTCACAGGACAAAAAAAAGATCTGTGGCGTAAAAATGTTGGCTAATATTTCACAATATCATATTGCCACATTTGTAACTATTTACACTTTCTAAATGCATTTGGGCAACAAAAAGGGTAAGAACAACCAAGAAAACTGTTCGCAAGTACATCTGTGTGGACTCAATCAGTTAACAGATTCTATCAGTCAGTGTCCAGTGAGGAGACAGAAACCACACAGTAAATCCAACAGGGAATGTTTCATAAAAAGAATTATTAGTGATAACAGGGAATTTATAATTAATTATAATTAATGATAAAGGGGGGGAAGGGAACTATGATGAATACCACAGGCCTGAAGGACAGTACCTAAGGAAGGACAAACTTGGGAGAGTGTAAGGGGTCTTTTCCAAGGGTGAGATTCAGACCTCATTGGAGAGGTGTGGTTGTAGCTGCATGAGCTGATCGCATGCTCTCCTCCTTCATTATTTGTGTATTGGTAACATACCCCAAATCACCTTTGCCAGATGGGTCATGAGAGAACACAGGCCTTCAATTTAGAGGCTTATACACTTTTATCAAGGGTGCTCATGAACTTGAAGAGATATTGATCCAACATTGTTGGCAGTTAAAAGGATGTTTAACAGGACTCTTGGTAGATATTTTTGAGCCTGTGTCAGGATTGTGTTCATGGAGTCCTAGCATTTTTAAATAGTAGAAAAAACTTAGAAATCATCTGGTCCAATCCACTGATTTTTTTATAGATTTTATTATTTGACAGAGAGAGACACAGTGAGAGAGGGAACACAAGCAGGGGGAGTGGGAGAGGGAGAAGCAGGCTTCCCACAGAGCAGGGGGCCCGATGCGGGGCTCGATCCCAGGACCCTGAGATCATGACCTGAGCAGAAGGCAGATGCTTAACGACTGAGCCACCCAGGCACCACCAATCCACCGATTTTATAGATGAATTAATCAGGCTAAGAAAGCCTAAGTGACTTGTTCAAGATCATCAACTAATTAATGGCTAGCTGAGATAATTACCTAGTCTCTTCTTCTTAGTCCCATACTCTTCCTACCCCATGATGTTGGAGCCAACCAGAACTTCACAGATTTCTGACAATGCTCTCAATCCCTCCTTTACTCCTTTAAACATAAATACTGAAAAAGAAAGGGAGTGGTGTTACCAGTGAGGGATAGTATAAATAAGCAAGGAGCTTGGATTCAGAAACAGTCTTGGCTTTTCATCTTGTTTAACTACTTGTTTGTATTTCTGAGCTTTAGTGTCTTCATCAGGAAAGCAGGCATAAATTAATTGATAATAATAAAAAGCTGCCTCAGAAGATTATTATGAGGGTTAATAATAACTGCTTGGCACACAGTAGGTGCTCAATAAATCACAGCAATTATTAAATGGTTCCTCCTTCCTCATAATAGATATATTAAAGTAACCACCTGTGTGCCCTAAAAACCTTTTAGTCTTCGAGGAATGCACAGTTGACAGTACTGACACTTTTATAATAAATCACTACATTTCTGTGTGAATGAAAGTTACACACACACCCACATACAGCTGCCTGTTAGGAAAAAAATCCGTCTTTATTAAATGGACAATTGGCAAACATAAGTCAACTCTACACAAATCAGTAGTCTCTCTCTCCCTCCATTCCACAATTTCATTTGATTGCTTGAAAACAATTCCTATGTCCTTAGGCATGATCTACTTACTTTAACACTGCCTAAAGTGAAACACAAAACACTGTATTTTATTTTTTAATTTTTTTAAAGATTTTATTTATTTATTTGAGAGAGAGAGAATGAGAGAGAGCACATGAGAGGAGGGAGGGTCAGAGGGAGAAGCAGACCCCCCGCTGAGCAGGGAGCCCGATGCGGGACTCGATCCAGGGACTCCAGGATCATAACCTGAGCCGAAGGCAGTCGCTCAACCAACTGAGCCACCCAGGCGCCCAAAACACTGTATTTTAAAAAGTACAATAGACCCTGGAGAATGAGGTAATCCAAGTGAGGGCACAGCTCTGTGTACTACATCCTATGCATAGATGATGGATCTTTCAGAGTGGTGATTACCCAAGGCTCATCTCCACTGATAAAAATAACAAATATTTAATACTTTATAGTGAACAAAGGGTTTTCATATATATAACTTTAAATGCTCTTAAGAAACCAAAGAAAGGATGTTATGCCCTTTTTATGGCAATAGAAGCAGGGTTAGGGAAGACTATCCAGACACTGGCTCACTAGATGACTGAATTTAGTATTGCTGTATTAGTTTCCTAGAGCTGCTATTAACAAAGTACCACAAAATAAGTGGCTTAGAACAACAGGAATTTATTGTGTCATCGTTCTGGAGGCTGGAAATCTGAAACCCAAGTGTTAGCACGGCCATGCCCCCTCTGAAGGTGCCAGGGAAGGATTTGTTCCAGGTCACTCTCCTAGCTTTGAATAGTTAGTTCTTGGCCTATGGGAGCATGACTCCAATCTTCACATGGCATTCTCTTTGTGTGTGGGTCTGTCTCTGTGTCCAAATTTCCAAATTTATAAGGACACTAGTCATGTTGGATTAGGGCCCACCCTAGTGACATCATCTTAACTTGATCATCTGCAAAGACCTTACTTCCAAGTAAGGGCACATTCACAGGTACGAGGGGTTATATGAATTTTAGGACACAACTCAACCCATAACAATTACCATATCTTTGCTCCTTTTAACCTTGCCGGACACACTGGTGGCAGAGAGCATTCATTCATTCACTCATTCATTCAATACACATTGTAATGCGTGTCAGGCTCTATACTTGGTATTGATGATGCAAAACACAAACTGGACAGCCACCCTGTTCTTGAGAGGAAATCAGAGACACATTGTTATGATAATAAATACTATTATTGAACACCTACTTCATGCTAGGTATTAAAGTATGTACTTTTCTTTTAATCTTCACAATAGTATGTTAAGTAATGTATCAGAGACACACCTGGGGAGATGGGTATACGTCCTAAACCTGCTCTGGATGACAGGGATATTTTCACAAATTAGGTACCACTTTATCTGAGTCTAAAGGGATGTGTAGAAATATACTAGGTAGCTCAAAGGTTGCTATGGTGACTAGCACATTCTAAAAAAGAGCATTCTATAAAGGAAAAAATAGCACGTTTGAAGGTTAAGAGACACATCATCGTAAACTCCACCAGGGCTGAGATTTTTGTCTATTTCTCTCCTGTACCTCGAGCACCCTGAACAGCGCCTGGTTCATTCAGTAAATCGCTTAATGAATATAAGGGCATCACATGTCGAAAGGAATGACCGGGCCTGATGCTCACTGTCGCTCTACCACACGAAGGGTGAGAAATCAGGGCTGACAGGTTGAAGACACATAGATAGTATTAAGGAATTCCGGGTGCCCGGCGCCTGCCCTGCCCATTACCCCTATTCCCCAGAACACATCCGAGGGAGCCACACCACGAGGGCCAGAAGAATGGGGGGGCGCCAGCTCCACACACTCCAAAGTCGGCTTCTTTAGCCAAAGCTGCACTGAAGCACAAGGTTGCGCTTGAAGTCTAACGGAGCTTTCTTCTCTCCTTTCAACCCGTCCCGCGCTCACTCCCCGCCGGACTCCCTTGCCGGCTCCGGGAGGACACCGGGCTGTTCCCAGGCCTTCCCGGAACGCGGAATCCCAGAGCGCGCTCCAGACGTTCGGCCGCGCCCTCCTTCTCTCTAGAACGCAGCGAGAGCGCACGCGCGCCATCCCCGCCGAGCGCGCCCCCGTGAGCTCCCCGCATCCCCGTGCTCATCCGGGTCTCAGAGAGCCTCAGCCAATAGGGGACGCTCACGGCCTCCAGGGGCGGGGCTAAGCCTTTCCTCACATGCGGCCTGTGGTCACCGTGGGCGCTTCTAGGCGATCAGTCGGCGGAGAAAAAGGGCAGAGAAAGGAAGCTCGGAGTCCGGGCGAGGGTCGAGGGCTTTGAGATCAAGCAGCTGCCGCCCCCTAGAAGCGACTGAATCGCGAGCAGATTCCTCAGTCAGAGCCGCTGTAGTAAACACACTTCAGAAACGTGAGGTGCCGGGGGTCACGTGGGGAGCGCGCTCTCCAATGAGGACCCGGGGGCGGGGCCGAGGCCGCTGACGCGGCGGTGGCGGCGGAGTCACCCGGGCAGCCTCGGGACCGGTCACCGGCCGGCAACCGTCCAGCGGCCTCGACCACCGCCTCCGCGCTCACTCCTCTTCCGCGGGCCGAGGGACGGCGTGGCCGACTGTGGCTGGATCCCCTCTCCTTCCTCTCGGTGGCTCGCCTCGGGCGGGCCGTTTTCTCCTCCGGGGCCGCCTCGGTGGGGCGAGGTTTCCGTGACGAACCTCCTGGGGCTGCCGGTGCCGGTCGGCGCCGTCGTGGCGGCTCGGGTTCGTGGAACGTGCTCACTCCCAGGGCTCCGAGGCCCTGGAAGCGATGCGGCTCGTGCCGGCGGTTGCGGCGGGCGCCGGCTCCTAAAGGGCGTCGCACCCGGACTCCGCTGACGGCAACCTCCATTCATCTTCCAGCTGCGCCTCCAGCGTCCTCTCCTTCTCCGGCCCCTCCTCGGACTCGTTTTTTCCCTTTTTTCCCCTCTGCCGCCCTCTCCCCTCTCCTTGGGTGTGGCGGTTCCCCTGGAAGCAGAGGTGTTGGGTATGAGCCGGCCCTTCCTTCCTTGAATTTCTCGGTGGGGGAACTGGGCAAGGACTCGCCCGCCGCCGCGCCCCCGGGATGGGGGTGAACGCCGTGCACTGGTTCCGAAAGGGGCTCCGGCTTCACGACAACCCCGCCCTGAAGGAGTGCATTCAGGGCGCTGACACCATCCGCTGCGTCTACATCCTCGACCCCTGGTTCGCCGGCTCCTCCAATGTGGGCATCAACAGGTGGCGGTAAGTCGAAATCCCGTGGGAAATGGGGATTTTGGTGCTTAAAGGATCAGGACTTGACTTGCAGTCGGCCGAATCTGAGAATTTAGACCTGGGACCGCGGTACTTACGCCGTTTTCCAAGTTGGAGGTGCCTGAGTGTGAAATGGAGTTGATTTAATCGTTCTCTGGCCAGAGAGTACCAGCAACCTGGAATACCTTGGCCTTCATGTATGAGTTACGTGCCTCTGCGCTACTGGGAACTCTTCCCCTGGTTTTATGGGGAATTCTTAGCGGTGGAGTTAAAGAAACACCCTCCGAGTTCTCAGTGGCCGGTGGATTGATTTTCTTGGCCTCTTTGTGTGTGTGTCTAGGTAACGCATAGTGTGGAGAAAAATCATTCAGGACAGGCACCTCCAAATCCACTTTTCTTCCACCTCGAGGTTGCCGTAGGAAAAGCAAGGGAAGCATCTGGTTTCTCTTTGCTCAGCTCTTCCTCTCAACTCCGCCTTGTGGTTGACTAGAGAAAGCACAGTTTTTCTTTCTAGGCAAAGTATAAAGCCTTCTAGGAATCAGAGCCCTGAAAAAAATTTTCGGGAAGCCTTATGGTCTTTTCCTGAATACCAGGCTAGGTGATTGTTAGGCTCCCTGGTGGAAATGAAAGCATTTGTTTGACAGATGGGTTATTGATCACTACTGTGTACCAGGCACTGCTTTAAACACCGGGGATATAGCAGCGAATGAAACAGACAGAAATTGTTATCCTTTTCGAGCGTTATGTCCCAGAAAGTCAAATATATAGTAGTTGATGGTGATAAAAGCTGTGGAGAAATATAGAGAAGAGATAGGGGATAAAGAATACAATGGGGTGGGATTATCCTTGCAGTTTTTTTTGTTTTTTTTTTTAAGATTTTATTTATTTGAGAGAGAGCGCGCTAGAACGAGCGAGCACGAACCAGGGACAGGAGCAGAGAGAAGCAGACTCCCCGCTGAGCAGGGAGCCCAACTTGGGGCTCCATCCCAGGGCCCCGAGATCATGACCTGAGCTGAAGGCAGCTGCTTACCGGACTGAGCCACCCAGGTGCCCCTCCTTGCAGTTTTAAATATGGTGGTCGCCGAGAACTCAGAAGGTGGCAGTTGAACAAACTGATGAAACAGGTAATGGATTGCAGATGTCTAGGGGAAAAGCATTCCAGGCGGGGGAACAGTGAGGGAAAAGGCCATGAAGTGGAAATGTGTTTAACCTTTGGAAGAAGCAGCAAAAGAAGCAATATGAAAGGAGCAGAATAAGGGCGCCGGGGTGGTTCAGTCGTTAAGCGTCTGCCTTCGGCTTGGGTCATGATCCCGGGGTGCTGAGATCGAGCCCCGCGTCGAGCTCCGCATCGGGCTCCCTGCTCAGCGGGAAACCTGCTTCTCTCTCTCGCACTCCCCCTGCTTGTGTTCCCTCTCTCGCTGTGTCCCTTTCTGTCAAATAAATGAATAAAGTCTTTAAAAAAAAAAAAAAGCAGACTAGTGGTGGTAGTAGGTGAGGTCAGAGGTAATAGGGCCAGGCTGAGTAGAGGTTTATAGGCAGTTGTCAAGATTTGGGCTTTTACTCAGAGCAAAGAGGGAATGATTGCAGGATTATGAGCAGAGAAGTGGTGTAATCTAAGTTTGAAAAAATTTCTCTGATCATAGTTCTGGATTGGGAGGAGAAGGTGGACAAGAAACAGGAAGCTATTGCATTCTTCCAGCTTGAACCACAGTGATAGTGGTGGACGTGGTGAGAAGTAGTCGAGTGCTGAGTATATTTTGAAGGAAGAATCCACAGTATTGGGCATCTGGGTGGCTCAGTTGTTTAAGCAACTGCCTTCGGCTCAGGTCTTGATCCTGGAATCCCAGGATCCAGTACAGCATCGGGCTCCCTGGTTAGCCGGGAGTCTGCTTCTCCCTCTGACCCTCTGCCCTCTCATGCTCTTTCTCTCTCATTCTCTCACTCAAATAAATACATAAAATCTTAAAAAAAAAAAAAAAGAATCCACAGTATTTGTTGGCAGATTGGTTATGTGGTATTAGAGAAAGAGAAGAGATTAGGAATTATTTTGAAATTGTTGGTTTGAGGAACTAGGCTAAAGCTGCACTTGGCCAAGAAAGTGAAGTCATTTGCAGAAGACATTGGGAGGGTGATTAGAGTTCTCTTTTGGACTTAAGTTTGGGGTGTTTATTATACATCCAAGTAGAGATGGCAGATTGACAGTTGGATATATCGGGAGTTCAGGACAGAGATCCAGGCAGGAGGTATAAATTGGAGTCATCACTTTGTAGATAATATTTAAAGCCATTTATTCATTCATCCTTTCATTGAACAAATATTTGTCATGCACCTACTACATGCCAGGCATTTTTTAGGTTCAGGGCATTCAGCATTAAAAATAGCTAAAAAAATCCCTACCCTGTTAAAGTTAAATTCTAGTGGAGCCATGAGACTTTGTGAGAACATAAGGAAGTGAGTGTAGATAGAAAACAGAGTAAGTCCAAGGTCAGAGTCTTGGATACTCTAATGTGTAGAAATTGTGGAGCTGTGGAAGAATTAGCCTAGGAGATTGAGGAGTATCTAGTAAGATGAGAAGAAAACCCAGAAGAGTATGGTGACTTAGAGGCCAAATAAAGTATTTCCAAGAGCATGCTTTACCTATGTCAGGTGTTGCTGATAGGTCAAGTGGGATAAGGACTAAAAACTAAAAATCCTATTTAGGATTTTGAGGTCATTTATAGTTTTGAGTGGTTTCAGTAGTGTCAGAGGCAAAGCCTTTCTGGAATGGCAAAGAGAGGCTGAGAGGAGAGAATTTGGGGGACATCTCCTACAGACAGCTATCTTAGGAAGTTTTGTTATAAGGGGATCAGAAAAATGATGAGGTGCCTGGGTTGGAATGTGAATTCAAGAGAGGATTTTTTTTTTTTTTTTTTTTAAGATTGGAGAAATTACCGTATGTTTGTGCTGATGGGAATGATACAGCAACTGTATATAAAAGCACTCACTAGCAGAACTGATGTCATTAATGTAGATTCTGGGAAAAGATAAATGTAATACATTTTAATGTATTAATAATATCTTAAAATAATATAGTAATAACCTTTTCATAAAATTGTTAATAAATTAGTTAACAAATGTAAAATGCTTAAAATGTGACTGGTAAGTGCTTTTTTGTTATTTGCTACTAAATTGAAAGCCCTAGGTGAATAATATCTAATTACATGTTTGCAGTCAGTTTCCTCTAGAGCATTTGGTAAGTTTATAAAATCTAGACTGTAAGCTTCTGTAGGATAGGAGTTATATGTTATCTTTGTACACCCAGCAACTCACATTGTCAAATGAGTGAAATAAAGCTTGAAAGCACAGTAAGAATAGTCTCACATTTTCCTTTTTTTTTTTTTTTAAGATTTTATTTATTTGACAGAGAGACAGCGAGAGAGGGAACACAAGCAGGGGGAGTGGGAGAGGGAGAAGCAGGCCTCCTGCTGAGCGGACAGCCGGATCAGCAGCTTAATGACTGAGCCACCCAGGCACCCCCATATTTTCCTTTTTAAAAGATTATTTTTAACTATTAAATATTGTCCTCTCTGAAAGATGGGTAAAGATGTAAACAATGAATAGACACTTTTTTCTTATACTAAAGACTAAGTTATAAAAAGGCAGGGACAGAGTTTTATTTAGTCTGTTCTCATAGCACTGAATTCAGTACTTTTTATATAGTTGTAGCTCAGTTACAGTTCATTGAATGAAATGGCATCCAGAAGTCAGTACTTTGATACTTAAACAACTTTATTCATTTCCTTATTGACCGTAGGATAATGTGCAATCTCCTTAGTTGGCATTCAGGCTATCTTGTGGGTTTCTACCTTCTTTCCTTCGTGCCATTTCCTTCAGTCAACAGCATTTCCTAGATTTTTGGATTGGATTTAACGAAGTTTATTTTACCTAAGTAAATTAACAAAACTACCTTTTTTTTTTTTTTAAGTAGGCTCCATGCCCAGCGTGAAGCCCAGTGCAGGGCTTGAGCTCACAACCCTGAGATCAAGACCTGAGCAGAGATCAAGAGTCAGATGCCCAACCAACTGAGCCACCCAGGCGCACCTCAAAATTACCTTTTAATATTGCTATAATTTCATTTAAAAGGGATGCTTTAACATTTAACAAGAAAGTTTGAAGGACATTGTTGGAAAATAAAGGACAGTCCTTTGACTTGAATAAATTAAGCTTTATTAAAATTCACTTTGCCTCATCAGTGAAAACATTATCTTGAATTTGTCATATTTGGGATTGAATGATATAAAATATTTCAATTTGGCTCAGTTGGTAGAGCATGCCACTCTTGATCTCAATGTTGTGAATTCAGGCCCCAGTTTGTGGGTGGAGCTTACTTAAAAAAAAATTTCAATTCCTTCCTTTACTTATCTCTTACTAAAATTACACCACACAAAAACTTATATATGAATGTTCATAGGACTATTATTTTAATAATTTACTATTATTCATAATAGTCAAAGGCTAGAAACAACCCAAATGACCATCTCCTGATGAATGGTTAAAATATGTTATATCCATACAATGGAGTAATAATCATAAAAAGAAATGAAGTACTGATACATGCTACAACATGGATGAACCTTAAAAACATTATGCTAAGTGAAGAAGCCAGTCACAAAATTTCACAAATTATTTGATTATGTTTATATGAAATGTCTAGTATAGGCAAATATGTAGAGACAGAAAGTAGATTAGTGGCTTTTTAGGGCTAGCCAACTTGGGGGAGTTGGGAGGTGGTAGCTAAGGGGCATGGGGTTTCTTTTTGAGGTGATGAAAATATTCTAGACAGTGATGGTTGCACAACTCTTTGAATATACTAAAAAAACATTGAATTGTACACTTAAAAAAAATCTACCTACCCCTTTAAGGTCCAGTCCACATGCCGCCTTTTCCATAATACATTTTTTATCATGTTGTCTGGGATGCTTTACACTTTACAGTCTTGTGAACTCTTATGC